ATACAAGGCTGTATAAGCCCCAATAACAGTGACATGCTGCATCGTATATATAAGAATCGGCTGCCAGTATGTTATTCCAACGCTGTATATCATGGCAATAATGCCTAAACTGTAGGCTTTTACACACAATGGCCTTTTGTTGTGCAGGTTATTTATTGTGCTGGTGTGAGGTTGTGCAGAGCTGGTGGGTGAGTGCATCCAGGGGCTTGTATTGTTAGGGAATCAGTGGCTCTTGTTTGTGGAGCTGGGAGGGTCTGTTAACAATGCCTTTTTTATGTCCCAGAGTGCGTGCCTGTCGGCAAACGTCCCCTCAGAATTTTTGTTTGTGTGTTTTGTTGTGTGTGTGTGTGGATCAGGGACGGCGAACATAACCCTCTCATTGTTTGCCACGTCCAAGTAGACCAGTTTTATATCAGGCACATGTGAGCATTAGTTTGTGTGTGTGTGTTTTGAATATACTGTATGAGTGAAAATTATGTTGTGCCGATGTGTGGAAAGTGCCGAGCTGAAGTGGTTTACTGCCAGTCTTTCCTAATGGGGCCTTTCACTATCCCTCCATTCATGTGACGATATGGTGACGGAGAAGGGGGAGCCGGGGATTAAGGGGGTAGAGGCAGTGCCTTGTTAAAGAAAAAGAAAGGGTTTGAGTGTGTCGATTGGATTAACTTGTTTGGGCTTATTAAGAGTGGAGACACAGCCGCTTGTTAAAAGCACTGCATGGGGCGTCCTACAGTGAGACGGCAGGGTCACCATTCAATTAGGTCGAAGCCCCGCCTCCTCCCCTCATTGTGTAGGCTGTCTGCCAGGACCTCGGCTGCTTCTCCACTGGGAGGGGGGCTTCACTGGAGACCCTTTAACTGAGATAGTCAAGCCTCCATAGGAGCTTGGCAATTGGTTTTATATAAAAATAACTACGGGATAATATTAGCTAGGACGAGATGTTTTTGCTACAGTATGCTGATGAAAGACTTGAGTTTCTATGTCAATGACAAATTATTAACTTTTCCAGCATTGTACCATGGTTTGTAACACATTTAACACCAGTTGTTATCTGTTATCTGATTCTGCAAAACCATAGATTGCAGCTATTTTTTTATTTCTTATGCCTATGATTTGAATGTGGAATGTGGAAGGCAACTGTATGATAAAAAGATGTAGAGATTATCGACGTCATTGTAAATAAACCTTGGTGGAGAATGGCTAGGGTTAGGGAAGTTCATGCAAAACATTTGTTGCAACAAAATGTAAAGTCCAACCTCCTACATATACATTAGGGCACACCACAGGACACAGATCCTGTGGTGTGAATATGTCTAATATGAGCAAAACTCCTTGGTTCACTTTCCTACAAAACCTTATTTAATTTAACAAAAGAAGCCAAAGTTCACACATTTGTTATGCTTTTTAAACACAAACAGCCTTTTCAGAGCTTTGCATACACGAACAATCTGATCAAAGAATAAGCAAACAAACTATGAATCTGACCAAACATTTAACCCATAGCTAAAATGATTGCATATATTCTGATGTTTCAATGCCCAGCGACAGTATCTGCTGCTTTATTCTTTATTTTACCTGAAACATGTAGTTTAAAACACACACAAACACACACTCCGTTTATTCACCCATGACCACCCTGCAACACCCCGCACTTGGCAGGATGCTTATCTGGGCAGACAGCTTTGGGCGCGGGGATCTCCTCTGATCTCCTCTGCCGTTTAAGAACCTTTTAACTTAGAAATAGCCCTCTGCCAAGCCCACCGCCTCTTGATTCCGGCTTATTCCCTCATCTCATGGGACTGATCTTCCACCCCCATTGCAAACCCTGCAGCAGCGTTAGCAGAACGGGAAAGAGCCAATAGACATCCTGGCTTTTGAGATATCCCCGCACTGGTGTAATAGGAGACCTGTGAGTGGATTTGATGAGTGAGTGAGGTGCAGGTGGTTTTTTCAAGTCTGTGTATGGCAGTGTGAGTGTGTGTTCTCACACCAGCACCTTACAGGGATTGACCCAGGCATAACAAGCTTTTTTGCGGGCAGCTGGATGATGGGTCACAGGGTTTTTGGTTTAGATAATTTCCTGCCTCTGATAGGTTATTCTACTACTTAGTAGATGTCTAATAGGAGGAGATGAGGGGAAAGGGAGACGTGACAAACAAGACAAACAAGCCAAATACTTGCTCCTTTTGCCTCGCTCTTAAAGTCCATAATGGGAGAAAATTGGTTCTTGAAATTGAATTGAAAAAAAGTGGGTCTCTTTCAGCGAACTCTAATGCCTCCGAATACATTTGGTGAACAGCAAATGGAGGGTAGTTACACGGTTGTCTTTCATTTCACTGAGGGGAAAACTGTGGAGGTATCCCCCCGTTAAGACTAGCTTTTAGTCTCAATCTACACCACGTGTCCTTTTACTCCCTCTCAACCACTATCTTTTCACAAATGGGCTTTGAGGATGGGGTCGTTGTGAAATTAGTATCCTCACAGAGAGGACACAGAGAAAGGATTATGTGAATAGCCAGTAATGAGCTCAAAGTGCCAGTGTGTTTGGGCCAGGCCTGCCTGTGTGTGAGAGGAAATGGCACTGCAAGCGACCTTTTTTGCTCAAGCACCTGGCGAGAAATAGAGTGGCCTCTCTCTTCCATCTGTGTGTGTGTGTGTGTGTGTGTGTGTGTGTGTGTGTGTGTGTGTGTGTGTGTGTGTGTGTGTGTGTGTGTGTGTGTGTGTGTGTGTGTGTGTGTGTGTGTGTGTGTGTGTGTGTGTGTGTGTGTGTGTGTGTGTGTGTGTGTGTGTGTGTGTGTGTGTGTGTGTGTGTGTGTGTGTGTGTGTGTGTGTGTGTGTGTGTGTGTGTGTGTGTGTGTGTGTGTGTGTGTGTGTGTTGTGTGTGTGTGTGTGTGTGTTGTGTGTGTGTGTGTGTGTGTGTGTGTGTGTGTGTGTGTGTGTGTGTGTGTGTGTGTGTGTGTGTGTGTGTGTGTGTGTGTGTGTGTGTGTGTGTGTGTGTGTGTGTGTGTGTGTGTGTGTGTGTGTGTGTACTATTTAATTAACAAGAAATTCTGAGTCTAAAGATTTAATGTACCTACATTTATCATGGAGAAGCAGCATTTTCACCATGTCAGATGTTTGTGCTAAAAAGTGTTGTATTTAGTTGCTTCTAAAACGTTTTAAAAATACATATTTTTGAATGAGAGTGTAAAGTGTGTTATACAAGCATCAGGGTCTGAGGTCAAATTAAATGTTTTGTTAAAAAATATGTGTATGAGTGAAAGTCTTACTTCTTTGAACGGGTGCTGCTTTTTTCTGTAACACCTGCTTCTAATCTTTTAACTATTCAGAACAGGAAAGTCATTCAACCTTAATTATAGGCAGTAAATTGTGTTGTGGTAGTTTATCGTGCTTCCTTCCTCCATTTCTCAATCCATACTCTAGCACTTTACTTAACACAGCATCTGTGCAGGGAGGGCTGTTACATTTAGACAATTCAGATATAAATTATATTTGAAATTGTATTATCTGTATATTCACATTCAGTGGGTGCTGAATTCTGACTAGTGAAAAGCAATCATTTATAATAAAAAAAAAAAACCCATCTTGAATAGATATGAATTGTTTGGTTCTGTGCACTAACATTATATTAAACTGCACATACACATATCCTATAAATGTCAATACTTTTTGTCCATTATGGTTTCCGGACTAGATCCGTTATTTCAGGAGTATGGTTTGTGCAAAGGTTAGTTTGATTGAACGCTTCTATTAAGGGTTTAATATATTTGATGTTTTCACTTGTGATCCATAATTTGCTATATTCCTAAATTAGAAAGAACAGGAGCTGGGGCTTTATGGACTGCCATTAATTTATCTCGTAATCATTATAATTGCTTTCTTTAAATGATAATCTATAAAACTAAGTAATGGACTGATGGCAGGTGGCTAAATGTTCATTTAGTGATTCACCGAGAAAATAAATAACAGGGGACAAGCCCGTGACAGGCGCATGAGAAATCATTTTTTCAATAATCTGACACGCATCACGGCTGGAGACGCTAGCACTGACAGCACGGATGAAATATTCGCCTCCTTTGTTTTAATATGTGAGGAGACCGGCCTAGATGGATACGATAGTGTTTCATATCGATGCATTTTGGACAAGAGACTCAAACACAAGCAGAGCTAAGATTAAAGCCACAGAGTTTCAAACAAAGACAGCCATGCTTATAGGTGAGACTGGGATTCTGCTGCGTTGTATTCAGGACAGAAAGAGCACGTTGTCTTCCTGGAAACCTAACAATATGCGCTAAGTGAACTATAGAGGGAATCTCGATGCTTATCATATAAAAACACTCTCTGGACCCAAATGGTTTGCTTCAGCTCTTCTCATCTGGCACATAATCCAAGTAGAAGATTTAGTAATCAGTCATCATTGTGCAATGTGACACTGGTATGTCGCTGATGAATGATACCTACCATGCTACTCGATTGTTGAGGGTTTTCTGTGAGGGAGCTGTGGGTTTTCTTACATATACATATAAATATATATATCTTTGTTTCCACTGGGGCTGTGATGGGCTTTTTGAGAGGAAACTAGCAACAACTGCCTCCGTGTTCCTGAGTGAAGGTGGCTGTGGGGAAAAGGGGGAGTGCAGAGCTGGAGATTTATGTCCTAGAGGGAGATTGATTAGTGCCGTCACGAGCCCTGATGTACGGTTGGCAGTCTCCCCCTCCCAACCCATCGCATTTCCCACAAACACACACACATGCAACCATACGGTTCAACACACAGCTACACATACATCCCGACACCGCTCAGTCCCCCAGGCCTTCCCTGACAGTCCCCCAGAGCTGTTGCATGTTAAGTTGTAGCAGACAGACTGCCGTTTTCTCAGCATTACCATTTTTTTTTGCCGTCCATAGATAACGCCATCAATCACCACATACACACTGCCCTGGAAGGAATGTGTCTGAGTGTTGCTACTTTCTGTGTGTGCCCGTGTGTTTGTTTTGAGGATGGTTTCTAAGACGGGAGATGCGGTTGAATGGCTGTGTGCTTGTGCTGTTTGAAGCTGCAGAGTGACTGGCCTGGACTGTGCTCTGAAACCGTCTCAACCGTGCTGTCCCAGTGCAGGTGTGTGTTTATCATTCAGCACACACAGCTGAGAAGCAGGCAGCTGTAGGCATGCTCTCCCAATTAAATCCTGGGTGAGAAACCTAGTCCATCTAGCCCTCAGCCAGATCCTGCCGCTTTTACCAGACACGGCATGGAGCTTTGACCTGGAATCATCCTGCTTAACTCACTCTCTTTATCTTTCTCTTTTCCTGCTGCAGGTTGGCCGCAGAACTCCCCACGGCTGTAGAACTGTGCCCACCTCGCCATGCTGGCCTGTCTGCAGAGGAGGCAAAACCCTCCACCCCAGCACCCGGTGTGTGCCAGCAAAACCCTGGAGCCCCCGCAAGCCCTTGGACGGAAATGTAAGTTTAAAAAGTGACAGTGAGCGACGCAGGTCAGAAGTTCAGCTCACCCAAAGCTAAGGAATGAGAGAGGCTTGTGTTTGTCGTTTGTATTTAATCGGTCATGGTGAATGATGGAAAACGGGTTGTTAACCCCGACTGTGAATAAATGAAGGAAAATAGACTTTCCGGTTCCTGTTGTTTGTCACTTGGTTCCTTACTCTGAGGAATTCTAAACAGTTTCATTCGCTCTGCACTTAGACCTTGGATTGCCATGTTGTTTGGCTACTCATTGTGAGGGGGGCTGTTTAGCTGTGCTGATTGTGCAGTCGTGGCAACAGGGCTGAACAGACAGTGTTTAACGTGCCTCACTGGCCCCGGGTGACCCTGAGGGTCTGTAAACATTTACAGTGTCTGGCCCTGGCTGTGCCGGCCGCCTGTAAAGCATGACAGCTGCTCTGTTTGCTCCCCGAGCACCACCCTCTGTCCACTCACAAAATGGTGTAAAGGGACAGAGATGAGCCAGGGCTGAAAACTGTTATAGAGCTGGCAAAACTAGTTTCAACCAGTTTTGGATTAGAGGGCTGCAGCAGTCAGGCATCTGGAAGGTGAATGTCCCCCTGATTTTGTTAAAGCTTTTGGATAAGCTTTTTGATGAGGGGAAGAAAGACCCTTCCTCCTTATTGAATGCTTCTAGAGTCTTTAGTTGCTTTTGTTTACACGGCCGGCCTACGAGCTATCCTCAAGCCGATTAAAAGGACTGGCGGGTGGAGAGCACTAACCACCCAGTTTTCACCTGTGCTTCTTCGTCAGTGGGAATGATATCAGGCCTGTAACCATCCCTGTGAAAGGCAAAGAAAACACGTTCTTTCTCAGCTTCTCACTGGCCAATTAGCTACTTCTCAGCTCAACATCACACTCCAATCGCCTCCTGTAGGAGACGGAAGTCACAAAAACAAGGTGACTGTGAGCCACCCCTGTCCTCAGATCTGGAGCTGTTGTTTTGCAGGTCTGTATGGATGTTTCATATGGAGCTGTATAGGTGTGTGTGTGAAACAGAGAGGGAACAAGAGACATGAACAGAGCTCTGAGTGCATTTGGAAGGGGAGCTCTTCAGCTGAGTGGGGTTCAACTGGGCCCACTAATGAGGTTTAGAGAGGTGAAGTGAAAGGAAGGACAAAGAGAAACTGCACAAAATAGAATTAGAGAAGATGGAAATGAAGGGGGGCAAATAGAGGGAGTCCTCAACAGTCGTCTTAATCGATTCCCTTTTCCAATTTTGCAGGATTAGCCCACTTCCTCTTTATTGAGGAGCAGCCAGTGGGAGTCAGGACTTAAATCAATAGAGAAAAGAACAGTCTCCAGTTTTCCCTTTCCCTCTTACTGACCCTCTCTCTGTTACTCTCCCTTTCCCTCTCTCTCCTTCTCCACCTGTTTAAAACCTTTGATTGAAAGACTACCACAGTGACTGAGGTTCATAATGAGGATGTTTGAACATAATAGCCTCCTTTCTGTCCTTGGTGGAGGAGGGGGGAGCAAGTGTTGGATTTCCACCACTGTGCTGCTCCTGGCCTCAATACGGCAATTGTTCATCCAGGCCCAGCAGGGGTGCAGAAAGGCAGACAGTGGGTCTGGCTGCACAAGTGGGCACACTCAGGTCACCGTGCTGAGCAGGTCCCCATGATTGATTGTTCATGTCCAAGTTTGTGCCAATGTGGAATGGCGGTTGTGGGTAAGGTGACCTGAGCTCTCAACAGGCGGCTGAATACCAGAATACACCCTCAAAGAGAGAGAGAGTGAGCGAGAGCACAGGAGGGGGATTACCTGGCAGCAAGGCAGAGGTGAGCTTTGTCATCTGCATCTGCTGTCCTTTACACAAAAAGAGTGTGTGTGTGTGTGTGTGTGTGTGTGACGACTGGGGGGGCGGAGCAGTTGGGATGACAGGGCGAGGAGGGTTTTAGCAAAAGTCTCTGCATGCAGATGCTGAGTGGCTGCACAGATCATTGATGTGACTCCCATTAAAAATCCCTCATACCCTCAATAAAAAAGGACTTAACTGGCTCTACCATCAGCTGGAAGCGTTCAGATCTGCTCGCCAGACAATCAATTTCCCCCAAGCGCACAGAGCTTAGCGGGAGAAACGGGAGGCGGAGAGCGGGATGTTTCCATTATCACAGCCCGCTCTGTGTCTGGACTCGGGGGGGCTGGGTGAGGTACTGTAGAGCGGGGAGTGCAGGGTAGAGAAAGGAGCGAGTGCCAGAGGGAGATGGGGAAAGACAGACAAGTGGAAGAGAGAGATAGGAGTCGAAAGGGAGACGGAGAAGCTGGCTTTTAAAAAAAAAAAAACGTTGACCGCCTGCCCTTAAAAATATCATATTGGATTAGCCTCACAGATATTTTTTTCTTTGGATGTAGAATTAAAAGGAGTGCAGCACATTACTTGAATTATAAATCATAGGCACTTGCTTTCACTAGGTCCAAATTCCGCGCATATGTGGCTGCACTCTCCAGCGCCAGCCCCTGTCATTTTTAATTAAATCCCCCCTTATGGGTGACATTTGTAGCTTGCCCCCTCCTCCGTCCTCCGCTCTCTACCACTGCCCTAGATGGAGACATGAAAGGCAGAGACGGCAACGGGCCTCTCATCGTGTTGTGCCCCAGAGAGAGGGCACCCATCCAGACAGATGAGAAGGAAAGGCCCTGCGAGGGTAGAGGGCTGAATAGATGCCACTGACCCCGGCCCCCCACAGCCAGCGGCACCCTCCCTCCCTCCCCATCGCTCTCCTTGATTGTCGTCCTTCACTGTGGGTCTGAAGGTCCAGGGAGCAGGGGTGAGTGGAGCAGGAGGTGCATTGGTCCAGTGATGAGTAACACTGAGATGGCTGGACAGGAGGCCCAGCAGCCCCCCCCAACACCCTGCCTCCTCCCTGGCCCAGACAGCAATTACTCTGCCACATGTCAGCTCAAGAATAACAGGTCCAGAATCCCTCAATTGACTGGCTCATGGGGATATTTCTTCCTGGCTATTTTCCAAAATGACGTCTTTCAGATTTCAGCAGGTTTTCATTTGTTTAATCAGAACTGAGTGGTTTCATTTCAGCCATGCATGACATTTTACGAGAATGTCGTTGTCACACTGGCTGTCCATGTTTGTCCTTTTTTATTCAGACCCTCTGTTGTAACCGCACAGCTTGCTGCCCCTCCCATATTTGTCCTATGATTGGATCAGACTTTGGGCTAAACCTGGGTGTTCCCCTGTGTCTCTAACACCAGCAGGGCCAGGCTGCAAATCATAAACACACACACACACACACACACACACACACACAACACACACACACACACACACACACACACACACACACACACACACACACACACACACACACACACACACACACACACACACACACACACACACACACACACAGAGAAGAATCAATTGTTGTCCCCAGTTGAATGTCTCCTTACATACATGACCTGCTCACATGTACAAACACACAAGCACACCTGCAGCCATACCCTCCCGTGACACCACCCAGGAGGCCCGAGGTGCCAATCAGCCAGGTGTAGATGAGAAGTTCCCAGAAGGCCTGATATCCCAGGTTCATGTGGTGCGGGGCAGGTTTAGCCCTCTTCAGTCTTGATCGACAGAGACAACCTGGGCATGTCACACGCAGCCTCAGGACATGACATGGGGGTTCACCTGGGGATTGTAGTTTTCCTAATAGCCCTGTGCCTCTGCCGGCGGAGCTGCCGGAGCCATTAGTTTGCTTTGCTTTTAGCAGCTTTTCTTCATAAGCCACCACACCACTGAGAGGGAATATGCTCAGGTAATGACCTCTTCCACCTCTCCTGCACTGTTGTCTGAGGCGGCGCGAGACATAACAGGGGAATTAGCTGGCCATATCAAATTGCAGTAGGAACGGCTGTTAGGCGGCATGGAAAAAAACACGTGGGGAGGGTTTTCAGTTGAATATTTAAATGTGGCCACGAGCAGCAGCAGGAATAACAACCCTTCCCCTGATTGCCTCAGTACCCTGGAGGTGGAGGGCATAAAGTAGGACTGGGGGAAAGGGAATGGAGATGGAACGAGGGAGGGAGAGACTCTGCATGCACTTGACCTTTTCCCACTGATTGAACTACCTCGTTCCTAACTCCCATTTGGAATTCCACAGAGTGCCCACAGAGACTGTCATTATTCCACAGGCTGCAGCAGGGAAGCAGAGGTCATGAGGTATTTTTCATAGTGAAAGGTGATTGACAGCTATCCATGGCCTGCCTTCTCCTGGGTGCCTGCTTATGCAATCTCATTTTGGGCATGGTCACATGACAATAGCCTTCATCACATTTATATACTGCAGATACAGGATATTTAATCGAGGTTTGCTTTATTTCAGAGGGGCAGTCCTTTGATATTTAATGTAATAGTCTTACCTCCTGCATACTACTGGCTCTTCTGTCATGTTGGCATCTCAATGCTGGCACACAGAGGATCATTTCCGGCTGGTGGAGTCCCACAGAGCCCTGCCTTCCTTCTGCCCTCTGCCTTCTGCTGTGAACACGGGGGGCGAAGCAATCTTATTGCCTTTGGAGGTGCGCTCGAGGAAGAAGCGCCCTGCTTTAGTTTTGGTCACAGCGGGACTTGGGTTGAAAAACTGGTTCCCAGTTCCAAAGTCTCCAAGCTGGCATTTGGGCGTCCCAGGTGCACGGTATCGACACCCTCTGTCTTCGCCTGCCAGAGCATGGGGGTGGGGGAGGTGGTGTGAGCGAGTACAGAGAGTCCGCAGCCCCTTGCTGTCCCACAGGAAATGACACACAGCCTGGGCTATCTCAGCGAACAGGCGTTCAGGAGGGGCTGCATACTCCTGGCACGTTCCTAGAGTTTTAGACGTCTCTACGATACCAAAACTCTAAATAAAAACGTAGATTTCGGGCAAGAGTTGGACATAAAAAGTGTGACAGTAGGAAGAAAGGTTGAATGCCCCTTTTAACTAGATTGCCAGCAATTACTCTATTTG